AATAGAAAAAAAAAACTAAAAATAGGAATAAAAAGAACACCCATAAATTTATTTTCACGTCAAAAATACGAATTATACACTTCAAGGAGTGCTTTTGTAATTATATGCAAATTAAATCATAAAAATTTTATAAGAAATTGAAATTAATGAACTAGAATCATCAATTCTTGAGTTTTTTTTTTAATATTCAGCTTTTGAAAAAGGATAAAATTATGTGTAACTAATAATATTTGATTGATCATATACATTATAATATTTATTGTATCCACTTTAAAATAGAACTGTATATAGTCTCATGTTCCTTATATTTTAATTGGGAATTATTGTTATCATCTGAGTCATTCTATGTTAATATGGAGTTCCATGAGTTTAACAAAGGTTTTTAATTATGTGGTGTCATAATCTCAATCACTATTTAATCATGTCTGCTTGAGCCTGCCACTAGTTCAATTTTCCATTATTTTTTTCACTTTACATAGTCAAGAACATTTATTATTTTGTAAAAAAGAATAAACTCATGCCCTTTAGTTGTTTTCATCTATGAAGGTCGTTTAATGTCATAACCCTATTAAGAAAGCGACAAGAGACATACACGTGGTTATTTGCATTAGATCAACCATTTTTACCTTTAGATCTCTCTCATGCTTTAGGAAACCGACTCATCTTTTTTTCTCCTAAAATCTAAACATCAAACTGTGAATTCATCAAAATTAAAACTTTAAATTGAACACTAGTATTAGAAACTTTTCAATATTTTATATCCATACAACTCAATTCTTATTGCTATAGATTTAAATTTGTATCCATATTGGTGGAGGATCTTAATATTCCTATTGTGGTAGTGATGTTGAACTATTTATCTTATTTTATAAACAATTCATCATGGCAATTCTTGCCACTTCTAAAATATTGATGTTGAAAGTAGCTCATACCCTTCTATTATTAGTTTCTTAAGAAACTCTAAGTTTCTTCTCAAGCTAGAGATATGGGACTTTATATTCCTTCCAAGTGTTTTCTTTTATTGCCTTTGTTATTAAATCATTAATGTATATAGTACTTAAAAGTTCTTCATTAATAAGATTTTTTTTTCATAATTCCAGATGCCATAGTTTATCATCAAACATTTATTTAAATAAAAATAAAATGACATCTAAATCTAACATCCATATTTATATCACATTATTCATAGAAAGTGTTATTGCAACCTAAATTTCATCACAATAACCTCATTATCCAATTCTTTTGCCATGAGTTGCTTGCATGCTTCATCTTCTAGCATTGTTTCATTAAGTAGCTAATCTTACAAGAACACGATAATTTACTCAAGTAATCGAGATTTATGACAAATATTTAATTTGAACTACTAACAATAGTTACATCACCATTTTTTCTCATGAATAATGATGCAAGCAAGCTTAATCATAGATCCAATCTTTGAACTTGAAGCTCACACAATTCTTTTGTACCATGATTTAGTTAAATTTGTTAACATGATTGATGGTTGAAGCTTCTTTCAACATCCTGAGATTGTAAATTTTATGCATTATAAATGGCTAATTAACATTGTAAGACTTTCCATATATATTGTATAACACTATTTTTTGTTCCTTTTAAACTTGGAGTAACCAGTTTGTGTAGTTATCATCATATAATTCTCTTTTCATGTAACCCTCTATCTTGGATTGTCAAAATGATTCGGAGCAGAGGAGGGATCAAAAAATTAGAACATACAATAATATCTAGACATACAAATTAAAAAAAATTGTGGAAAACTTACATAAGATAAACTTTGTGTGATAAGTCAAAAATATATATCGAAAATGATATTGGATCAAAGTATCTTGAAACACAAATACATGAAGAGAAGAACTTAGGTAAGTAACCAATAACCAAAGAACCAAAATTAAATTTTGCCCTGGGGTTAAGAGCAATAACCAAAGAAACGTGTCCCTTTGTTTAACTACAGCTTGTGAGATATCCAAGAAAATTGTCAGTAATAGGAACTCTTCTTATGATTTTGTGATAACTATTGAAAAGGTGTATCAAAAGGATACATTTATCTCAACTAGGAGCATCTCGGAGCTTCAAATCCTATATTAAGCCATAAGGGTAGATGACAGTCTCTCACATATCAAGTAGACAGTGGCTAATCTGCAAACGAGGCCTATGACTGTTGACCTCACTTTTGTGAGGCCCCTTCTTCCTCTATAGAAGCCTAAGATCAACCCTTAAGGTTTACTAGTGGCCTTCTTAGATGCATAGAAATAAGACCAAAACAAATTTAGAACTTCAAGCCCACTCTACATTCACTTAGGGTTTCATAAGGCTAAGCCCAAGTCCTCAACTATTAGTTGAGATGATGTGGGTTGAAATTGGTAGAAACCTAAAATGAATTCCAACGGGTGGAGGAGACCTTAGGCAACCCATAGAGCCTAGATTCTTACGAATCCCTATGATAACCTATTTTGAACATCCCTACACCCTCTTTGGTCTAGAAGAAGCTCATTAGGCATGAGGCTAATTTTATATTAAAGAATGGTTCTCGCTTTGGACCAAAACTTTAAACTAAGATAGAAAGAAGACTAAAACATCAAAATTTAAACTAAAAAGAAATTGGATCAACACTGTCGGCCATTTTTTTGAAAATTATTCTTTATTTTAATTTAATATGGATATAATTTTGTAATTTTGAAAAATAGTATTTTGATTTTGGAATATGATACCAAATAGATCTCATATATTCAATAGTTTAAACAATCGAGTATAAACCACAAGTAGCGCACCATCCCGAAGGATAGACATACTACTTGATGGTGGGCTCGATTATATATACTAAATGAATTATCATATATGTTTTGTCTGCGAACCTTTTATATGTGACCAACAATTCTCATACCTAATATGAGGATTAGATAGTTTATTTTACCTAGGTTCCTAATTCCCTATAGAGGCAAATCCCTGTAGTTAATTTCAACTTATTCTCGATTATGATTAGTGGTTTTGACTTCAAGAAATTCAAAGTTGAGTTTTCATGATTGTTGTAGAACAATCAAATAGGAAAGATCAAGTGAGAACAATCCAAAGAAGCGAGAAGTAGGGGATGTCATAGACTCTATGGAGATCCTCAAATATCTTCCCAAACTATCCTATTATTTGGCTTTATATTTTTGGAACAATATTATTTGATGTTTATTCCTACTATTTTTATTAAAATTAGGACTTATACTTGCATGATATGATCATACAAATAACCTATGAAGATAGGATGGTTTAAGTCGTATAGAACGAACAACCTCAAAATCCTAAAAGAGTTAGGGTTTTTATTGCACAATAT